TTCGCTTGTGGATATAACATGGACATGAACCATCTCAGAAAATAGACGTGACTTTTTGACCGATGCGGAAAATGGACGTGGCTATTTAGTTCCTAAGCCGGCCGGAAATGGACGTGCGTCACTAGCGTACGGCCTAGAGAAAGCGTCGTACGGAAAACGGCAGCGTGGCCTCTCTCAGGTTTCTCTCTGCTATAAGTATTATATAATTACAAAATATGTACTCATATCAGTCGCTACATTATACGACAAATGCAAATTTATAAATGTATGTAGGTTCATATATCGCGATTTGTATATAATTTTCAAAGCTAAGCAGTTTTATTTTCCTAGTGAATATCTTTGCCATTCTAAGGTTACGTTCGAAAACGTTACTCTTGAATCACACTGACTCCCCTTGCTTTTTCGGCGAGTGGTTTCGTGGCACACTGGTGGTACTCGTTCAACGTTTTCGAACGATTCACCCGAATGCACGTTAAGTACCACTAACGTGTTTCCGAACGGTTATTGTGTGTTGGTGTGCACACAGTGTGTGTTTCCGAACGCACCATACACATAGATGTGGGTTAAAATCTCGTTTCGCGTGGAAAGTTGTGAATGTAACCTGAAAAGTTGTTAACTTTAACGATTAATATCTCGCTTCGCGGGGCAGAGCGACACTTTTTTCTGTCAGATTCTTTTGTTTTGGACAAAAACGCGTCTAATGAATATAAATTTATAAAAATTGGAGGTGAGGTAACAATACTGAATAATTACCAATTTTTATTCTAACCTTCGTAGATTTTATCTTAAACTTACTCTTAATTTTACCTTTATAGTTTTGATAAAGAGAGGAAAGATTAACACTGTGATTGTTGAAGCAAATTGCAAAATGAGTAAATATGTGAATTTGATGAATATAGGCACTAATTATGCCATACGTATGAATCGTCTGAGTAATCGAATCTTTGGAGAAGTTGTCAGATCAACCAATAACAAATCAATGAAAATCATGAAGCTATTCAGCGAGAGACCAGTGAATAAACGACCTGAGATTGTACAATATTATCCAAGATATGAGCAGACAGATAAATTAATGACTTATCTGCGAGATTATGGCCTTTTCAGAGATGAGCATAAGGATTTCAAGGAAGAATATACACGTTTGAGAGCCCTGCGTGGTAAAACTAGGTGGATAGCACCTCCCTTCAGGAACAAAGATAATTCATCTCCAAATAGTTCCTAGATTTATAAGTGTCAATTTTATTATGAAGCATATATTTTATTTGTACATAATAAAGTAGAAAACTTAGTATATTTAGTATTATTTCTTTTATATGATATATTACAAAAATTTATCATTTAAAATATATAAAATATATAAAATATATAAAATAATTAAATAAAAAGAGAATAAGGTTTTAGAACACAAAATTTGAACATGATTTGTCTTATCAATATTAAATGAGAACACAAATTTTAAATTATTTATATTTTATATGTCTTTTATTAAATTTTGCTTTATTGATTCTCTATAACTTTGCTGTAGAATTATATTTTCTCTGTTGGTTAGAATAAGATAGAATTATGTTTTTATTATAAAAATACTCAATCTTTTTAATTTATTAAAGTCCTTTGACATTATTATTATTATTCTTTAATAATAAATAATCAATACATGATGAGATACATGCATTTCTAGACAAATTTCATTATATAAAGAAAATTTATTATAAAATTCCTTACAATATAATATGGCACATATATAGACATATTTACAGCTTATCTTTATATAGTACAGTATTTTATATTAATTATGTTGTATTACTCTACTGAATGTAGAATCACATTTTGTTTATTAATAAGCAATGTTTATTCTTAAAGTTTGTTCACTTAGTTTTATAATTCTTGTTTTGAATATTTATATTGAATATCCTTCAAATTTTCTTTCTTACTTGATATCTTTTTTATTTTTTTCTCTTGTTTCTTTAAATCTTTCCCAGTGTCGCCTTTTTCGTACAAGCAAGAATCATTTTGCTCTTTCAATGCACGTTCAGAACATAAATATCTAGTGTAAATAATAAATCAAATTTAATACTGTTTTAATAATTAAATCATATCTATAATTAAAATAAATACAACAAATAGAGTACTACCTAATTAAAGAAACCTTTCCTTGATAGTTATGATACCAGTCCTCAATATCAGCTTCATGATTCTCTAGTAAAACTTCACATTGGGTTTTTAAAGTAGTTATTTCTACTGAAGGCTTATCCCATAATTCATATGGAATCCCCAATTCTACCTTGACACCTTTGTCTCTATAATCATATATTTGTTAATTTACAAAAATATTCCATAATGTCACATCATCAAATATCAAAATATGTCTTACACAAGATCATGCAGTGTTTTAAATGTTTGACTCATTCCTTTTGCAAATCTTGTACTATCTGTACGTTCTTTGTGTATATTATAATCCAATATACGATCACAAATATTTTCCATAGATTCCACTAGACGCAGTTCTCTGGAAACAAGCACTTTGAATGATTACATCAAAATAATCTTATCTTAATTTATTATAGTACTCACGACTTCTTATATTCTTTTTTTTTTTTTGGTGCGACATCATCCAATGCATATCCAAGCTCTATAACATCATGTGTTCTTCCAGTTTCATCCAGTCTAGCTTCAAGCTCCATAGCTAAAACTTTACACACTGGAATGGAAATTTATTATTAATTTTAGATGTAATATTTGCAATTATATTAGATAAAGCTCTTAAAGTGTAATCTTTCAATGTCAAAATAATATCATATTTTTAAATTTACTTTTTTATCACAAAAAATAGCTTTAAATAAAAATTACCTTCACAATGATCGGCGTACTTCACGCCTTGCTCTTCTTCGGGACTGCCGAAGACAAAACATATGAGCAATAGATTTAATAGATTTAATAAAATTAAATTCTTCACAAATAACATTGTATTGTTAACTTGTATTAAATAAAACAGAAATGTTAATCAATCGATTGTGGAATCACTGCAATATCACTAGAATGTATAAAGCAGCCAGCAATAAAGCCTAAAATAATCCAAAAATAATTGTAACAATTTATTTTATATCGCTAACTGCACGAATAATTGTTACGTACTATACACGTTACATAGCATATGTTCGTGAAGTTCGCTGTCACGCCATGTGTGAGATTTGTACACTTTGGCCATAGACGTAGTAAATATAGACTGCTCTAGAGATCCTTAGGCCGGCGTCACATAGAACCCGTAATCCGTAATCCGCACCGAAAGTCCGCAAAAGTTACTAGGGATTGCGTCCGTAACGTTACGTGTGTTTTATCTCCTTGTGTCCCATGGAGCCGTAATTCCATGAAATTTCCGTAAAAGTTACTAAAAGTTACTATTTATTACTAGTAATGCTTTTTTTAATTTTATTTATTTAACTAAATTTGACGATTTAATTAAAATTTTTGTTAAAATTATAATATATTCTGTAGTTTTCTTATGAATAAAATACAAATAAACAATTATAATTTGTTAAATAAAAAATAGTAATATCGTTACGTGTGTATTTACGGCTCCATGGGACACAAGGAGAAAAAACATACGTAACGTTACGGACGCAATCCCTAGTAACTTTTGCGGACTTCCGGTGCGGATTACGGATTACGGGTTCTATGTGACGCCAGCCTTAAAGGAGAGATCGGCAGAACTGTCGCCATCTTGGTGTAAAAGCGGATGTGACGTTCGTGGCGCTTTATTTTAAATGTATACAATAACTAATATATTTATTTTCTGTTGTAACTGACATTAGTGCAATAAAATAATTAAAAACAATTTTATCTTAGTACGATACTTCATGCTTATATAGAAATTAATATATTAATATATATAAAAGAAATAATTAAATTATTAAAATTATTATAGCACATAAAAAAACACAATAAAAGTACATACAAACAAATATAAAAACAAATATATATATATATATATATAAACGTAGAATAGCAAATAAAAATATTTATAGAAGATAAGATGCAAATAATTTCATTTATTTGTAATTGTTGTGTATACAATAAATCAATTTGTAGTATATACAACCCAAGGAAAACAGAAAATCAAAATGTCAATTTGACATTGTTTATGGCAAAAATGATGTAAAAATGACGCTTTTTGTCATTTTTTGGTCAACAAGATATCAAATGACATTATTTTGACTTTCTGTTCTCCTTGGAAATTTTATACACTCACCCGAAAAAAAAGCGGTACACTGAAAATGTGGGAAAAATTCATCAAATTTCAACTGACGATAACTTCGTAAATAATAAAGATAGAAAGTTCTATAAAATATGGAAATGAAGCTAAAAATCTCTACTTTAAGAATCAATTTATTTCAATGTTGCAAAATAAATTTATTGAAAATGGCGGATGACAAAGCGCGAGCATGCAAAATTGAAAAATAATGGTTCGAGTTTGCGACGGTGCACGGTATAAACAAAAAATTGTAGCTTATTGGGATCAAAAGCGTACGAAAG